GGAGATGGCTGTCTTCCCTACCTCACAACATTGAAATGAAATGTCTATTACGCGAGATAAATCTCATCTACAAAAATGAATAATTCACACTAGTCTCAATTCACAGAATCAATGCAGTAGCTCTGTAACAAAGGGATATTATACATATCCTATTCACAGTAACTAAAGTGCACTACTTCGATAGTAATGAATAATTGAAGTAAATTTTTTTGCCTCTATTTCATAATTACAGAGCGTCGCCGTTAGAAGCATAATGTATAATGTAAACCGTTTTATGTAATAAATAACTATTAAATCATTTTTATTGGTTTATTTTCGAATTCATCATATAAAACTGATGCTTCACTCATATGCCAATTCAAGATTGACAAGTAACACATACTAAAAAGAACCCCTATATGTACATATAGTATTTTTAGATTAAGATGAAAAAGAAAACAATTCATAAAGTATTACTTTCAATTTCGAAAATTCTTCAATATATTTATAAAACGATGGTTTTTTTATTCTGCTCACTGTTTGCTTTATTTTATTTCTTAACAAGTGTATCTCTAAAAGAATAATTCAATGTGAAAAAGTCTCAGATTTATATCCATGTCTTTGATTAGTGATTTATTCCTCAAGAGTTTGATATGAACTGATTTAATCAAAAAATTAGATAAACTGTGTATTGAAACCGAAGAGATATGTAAAAGTATCCGTACAGTGAATCTAACGATTCATAACTAATTAGATATTATTTTTTAACTTGCTATATCAATAGTGAATATATTAAGGAACTTAATGAATAGATATATATTTTGTATGATTTTGTCATATATGCTTCTTCTGAAAGTATTTTTGAATTCCACCGTAGCTTTTTATAAACAATTTAGCTAAGCTCACCTGATGGTTCTTTTCTAATGCTTAACTCAATCGTAGACTTGATAAGTTCTTCTAGTGCTATATGATCAAAAATAAATTGATACCTGGTGAAATTTTGGTTTTACTTGAATGAATTTCAGCATTGGGATAGATATAGTAGAACAAGGACATTGAAGTGTATCAGGATACTGCTCCAATAGAGATTCGAACATAGAATAAGAAGTGAGTTTTACATTAATCATCGTCGTCTCGCTTCCCAAACTGGTATAAATAAGCAGAAGAAGTATATTTGTAATGAAGAGAACAACGTAAATCCAGGTTGAACATCGTTCAATTTGAATTGATTCTACATCGCTAGATTCATTATCGAAAAGATTGAAACTATAGAACCAACATTTAATACGATTTTGTAACATTTTCATATTAGTTAGTTAGTTTATCAAAACACTTTGTGAATAAACTCTAAAATTTTTTCAACAGGATGGAATGCAGCTGTCACCTAGCAAGCAATATTCTTTTGCGCACATACATTTCGGAAAGTATTATTCCAAATTTAAAAAATGAGCTAGTGACGTACAAAATAACTTCAATTCAAACTATTGCAAAAAAAATTATATTATTTTTTTTACTATGGTAATGACAAGAGTATTTCATGCCATTAGTATGATAGTATATTGTGGCTACACACTTAAAATGAATCTTTGGACAACAAATTAAAGTGATCATGATGAATATGAAATTGGATTGTTATCTTGTTGGTTTTGTAAAACCTGCTTCATTGCAATAGCAAATTTATCTCGTACAAAGTCACACAGGATTAGATGGGGTCATTTATCACTGAGTATGGAGATATCAGTAATGATGACAGTGCAGGTTACATATAAGTGCTGTTTGCCACAACATATGTTCATCATCACTATTTTTTATTATTGTAAAAATAGAGGATATATTTCTACTTTGTTGACGAACCTTCTAGAATTGATTAAAGTGAATTTGAATCATTCAAGATTGTTATGTGACAAAATTAGTTGTATGTTGTTGTTTCCCTACAGAACATCTTTTTTTTGTTCTTATAACGCATGAATAATTCGTTCTCTATTTCTTTCATTTCTTTCTTTGCTTTCTCCTGCTCGTTTTTTTGTTCTGCTTGTTCCTACTGTATAGATGTGTTTTTCTTTTAATCATTACTAATGCAGATAGATCTCTCATTGACAAAAATCATTTTATTAATGAGTCAAGGTAAAGCACACATACTGTGTAGGAAATAGACGTACGTACGAAGCAAAAAAGAATTTCAAAAAATTATGTTGAAAAAACATTTTACATCTTTCGATAGACATTGAAACAGCTAGTGAACTGTGGAAAATTATTTTATAGTCGTACTCATGTAATTTGTGCACTAAAGACCCAAATAATCAGCGTGCAGATTATTTGTAAGATTCTAAGAAATCAGGAAAGACCAATAATACCTTGATAGTCATCGTTTTGTGGTGTGTTCGTGTAAAGTTATCACGATACGTAAGGTATTTCGATGCTACTGATTTAATTTATCAAATGGTAATAATAAATATGGAGCTGAAATTCAAAGTATCATACGAAGTTTCGTTCTTACTTAAAGGGCTCATCAAGCATGTTTTTTTATGATTTATAGATTGAAAGAATCAATGTGACGGCTTGAGTTTAATTGTTTTATTTTTATTTTTTGGTTGAAAGATGATATTATAGCTATTGGTTCGGGCTAGTTACAGTTGCTGTCTAATTTTTATTTTTGTTTTTGTATTTAGCTATATAATTTGTTGTTTTTATCTGAAATAGTAGAAAAGTTTTATCTGATTTCGTGCTGCGTATTTCTAAATAAAACACTTTTGAAACGTATGTGCTTCTATTTTTAATGGTTTGATTAGAATAGTTAGTAACAATAGTTCATTGTACCACTCTTCGTCAATAAGATTTTTGCAAAATAGACTTTCGACAGTACGCCTACTGTACTTTTGCCAATTGGTGAATGCCTATCGAATACTCGCCTATATGATGGAGGAGTCTATGAACTTGCGCCTATTTTAATTCAACATTGACATCAATCAGAGAGATTAATATCGCATGCATAATAACTATACATATGGATGTGTATGTGAGTAGTATTATAAATTGCGTATATGTAACTTTTTTTCTTGTTCTGTATTAAATAGTGAAACAGGAGTGAGCTTTGACCAATTTCACCTATTGGATACTCGTCAATCGGTGAAAGTGTTTTTAGCAAAGAGCGGAATTTCCGGATAAGAGGGTAATGAGTGGGTGAGAAAAGCTCGGGAAATGAATATGGGTACGAAAATAAATGTAGGAACAATTTTACACGTGAGTGAAGAGGTTGATGTGGATATTTATATTTATAAATCCCATATACTTCAAGAATCATCTTCGCACGCTCACCCATACACTCTAGTTCATCTTTCCCTACGTACACTGACCTACGTATCCACACCCTGATTCAACACTGAATCCTTCTCATCGACACCTTATCTTCTCACCCTCATCCACATCTCGCTCACTTTCTCACTTACGTCTCATACAGGGGTACTCTACCGTCACTTAATTGATTATCTTCTATGTGAGTTCACATGACCATTTCCAATAATATACACCGGATCGTAAAATAATAAATCTTTACGGAATATTCATAGAGTGTTGTAAACGTATCCGTTTGGTTATCAGTCCTTTGAATAAAATATTACTATATAAAACTTTTTAAAAATTTGTATATATCCTTTGCAAATTCAAATATCATTCCAGTCAAACATCCTTTAGATTGTAAATCCTGGAAAGATTTATGACAGTCACATAAATCCTTTAAGGGTTTATAAAAAAAAACAAAATTAATGACAAGCGTAGATGAGTATGTGAAACTGTTAGCGGCAATTCATTTGCTTTTCCGATCTTTAAAGAGACAGAGATTGGGCGCACATGTTCTTTTCATCACACTGATAATTTACTTGAACTACAATTGAAGAGTAAACATGATGTTTCTATGTTATCCACACTTCGTGAACGAATGAAACAGAAGATAAAATCTCTTTGCGTGAAAAAATGGGATCAAAACACGAGCTGGGTAGACAAATATCACATGCATGTTTGCTTCTCAAGGCGCATTTGTCGAGCTTTAAAGTAGTAGAAAAAGTTCATTTTTGGTTTGATGGATCTTACAAATTTATAATGCATATTTTATATAAACTAAAGAAAAATGCTGATTTTGGTTTGATCATTAGTAAAATCGAGACGATTCCAAGAATTATTGGGAAATATGGCGTCAGTTGTGTAGTTCAGTTGGTTGGCCACTTTTTGAAATTTCACTTCGGCTTACAGGATTACACCTTCCTTCACGCATTGCATCAAGAGAGACTCAAGTAAACCTAAGATGTTACGCTTATGCCAATATTGTGGGGAGAGGCAGGTCGAGAAAAGATATTTGGTACGTATGAATGTATTGGGTGTGATATAGTGTTGTGTCTTACAGATTGTTTTAAAGGCTGTCACACTTAGAGGAATAATATAAAGAAGGTTCTTTTATTCATGGCTGCGACTGACAAGTATGTGTTAAATGGTAGTAGCGTTAAGTAGAAAGGGTGTGGTTGGGTATGGGTGTGCGTGGGGTGTGGGTGGGTGTGGGTGTGTGGCTGTACCTTAAGAGAAGAGTGATACTCATACCCACACCCACACCCACACCACCGCCACCCACACCCCGCCACTTAGTAGCTTCTTATAGATTCTAATCAATATTTTCTCGTAGTAGGCAATATATCTTCATTGGAGCCATTTAATGTATGAGAAGAAGGACAATTAGAACATCACTCACCACATATCTTCTACATAAGTTGGGATAGTGAAATATGCATCATTATCTATCAATAATTAATTGCAACTGTCTCCTATGCAATCAAGAAGGCGTGCATATGTGAGAGAGATTTAGGTCAGGTTTTGTAAATGTGAGTCCAACTCAAACCCCACACCCACATCCTCACACCCTCAAGAGAGGGACATGTTCTTTGATGTAGGATCTTGTATGAAGAAACCAAGAGTAGTGTAAGACTTCCGATTGCCCGTACAAAATACGAATAACATTTCAATATCGATACACTTTTTTATTTGATTAAATTAAAGCGTCGAACATGATAATTATCAAAATTGATGACGTACAGATTACCATAGCGATCGAAAGTTAAACTATGGGCTCCTTTCCAGTTTCCTACTTTACCATCAATAATTACACTGCCCTGTGTAGCTCCTTCAGTCCAACGTACGATTCGATCATTGGTATCGTCAGCCACATAAAGAGTACCTGATTGATCAACAACGACTCCTCGTGGATTGTAAAGTTGCTGAAGACTACTTCCTAATCCTTGACCACCAGCAACAACAAGACCTGATTTAGCATTTTTTTTCCATTTCATTACACGCTGATTGTAAAGATCAGAGACGTACACTGTATGATCTCGATCGACAAATACAAAGTATGGTCCATCGAGTTGACTGGAATTTCTTCCCTTTCCATTGCCACCTGCAACTACTGTTCCTTCAGAATCTCCTCTTTCATATTGTCTCACCGAACTTTCACTGAAGATACTAACATAGAGAGAGCCACTTTCATCCATGGTCAAACCATGACAATCAACGTGTGATATAATCGTTGTTCCACTTGTACCATTTTGACGAGGCCATCGAACCACTCTCTTATTACCATTGTCGCAGATGATCAGACTATCTGTCTCTTTGTCAACAATCACATCTGTTGGATATTGTAACTGATGAGTTTCATTTCCTGCTCCGTTTCCTCCAGCAACTACTTGGCCAGCTGTTGCATTCGCTCTCCATTTCATAATACGATGATTATATTCATCAGCAATGTAAAGGTTTTCCTCATCATCCAAAAATAAACCTAAGGGAAGTCTGAATTGATCCGTTTCATTACCTTCTCCATTTCCTCCAGCAACAGTAACACCATGTTGTTCCCAACGAGCATCATCTGGGATTTCAACAGGACTGCCACGCAATGGTGTCCATACTATTGGAAATACAAATGAAACAGACAAAGGTAAAAACAAGGGAGTTCGCTTTACTTTTATTGTGTCAAATGAATGGGAAAGGAGTCCTTAAATTCAGAGAAGACAAAGACGTAAACATCGTGACGAAAAAATTTGAAAACTCTTTCCTTTTGCTTGTAACAATTTTTTTTTATTGCATCTTAGAAGGCAAAGAAAATAATTGCTTTCGTTGCTTTCTGCTGAACAGAAAATCATTCTCTTCACTTAATATTCGTCAAGATTAACTTTTTTCTCGAATGAAAAGAAAAAGATATCTGATCACGGCATCGTTCAAAGCGAAAGGTCGCCCGCATAGTGAAAACATGAAAATAACACTGCAAAAAGGTGAAAAAAAACAGATACGTAGAAAAAAGGCAAGGGTATGTTATTTTGTCGGAGAAAAAAAAGAAAATAAATTTCATATAATACTTATATTTCATTTGCTAATATTTCTTTAGATGAGACAGACAAAAGAAAAGTCTCAAGTACAGAATAGAAATAAATTTTATTATTTTATAAACACATTTTGAAAAGAGATTTGGGAGGAAAACTTTGAATTTTATTCGTAGTATTATTTTATTTAATTGAGTGTAAAAATAAATGGAAAGAAAAGCCTTTCTCTAACGTCTGAAATGTAAGCATTCTACTCACCTGGTCGCTGAGTAGTTGTAGTAGTAGTAGTAGTTGCTGCGGTGGTCGTCGTTGTTGATGGCGTTGTTGTGATAGTGGTATTACCTATGTTCATAATCATAGAATATGTATATAAGCGTGATGGGCTTCTTGACAATGAGGAAAATGTAATTTTTAAAAACCAACTTTCCATAGAAGATTTAGATACTAATAAGCGTGCGAGAAATTTTGAGATTTCTCATTATTCTGGTTTCAATACTAGCAATACTCTTTGTGATCTTCATACTTTACTGTAATACATCTGGAACTATATATCATCCTAATAAACATTGATTTAGAAATTTCCTGCAAGGTCAAGAAATTAACCAACTTTTTCAGAGACTTCGACTTCATTTTAACATTCTTATATGAAACCGATCATCGAATAGAATTCAATATTCACTTACTTGCTCTGGGTGGACATAGATGCCGATTGAAACTTGGTACTGGATAGCAAACTGGTTTATTATGGCATAGGGGATGTTGAACACATCTATATTCTGGATTGTAACATGAATTATCCACAGGATCACATTCAAATAATTCCTTACAGTCGATAAATCGGTCAAGACACAGACCTACATTATTGGCACCAGCATCGTAAAAGCAGCTACATGCACTATTTGTTGAACATCGATCATACTGTGATATTCCGCGACAGTATTGAGATTTGACTCGAACTATCGATAGACTAAATAGAAGGTAGAATGCTATACAAAAAGTGAGATAAATAAAATTTTTCGAAAGCATAATAGAAAAAGAAAACACTAAATCTTCAATGGTTATGCAAGTGAAAATATACCAAAATTACCTAAACAGAATGAGTAAAAGTGAATTAAATACTATTACAACCATCGCTTCTGTTACAATGAAAAAGAGTGCCAAGGATATTCGCTTTTATGTATGATGTGTATATCAAAATATTTCAATTTATAGAAATTAAATATCATTACAAAGCTTACCCTAAATGCTTTGTTTTTTTCTCTTTAGAAAAATAATCCTTAATAAAAAAAAATCATACGAAAAATGATTCGTCATATATCACGCAAAGTAAATTCAGCTTGAAAAAAATCACTTGTATAATGCATTACATTGCTATTTTAACAGTTTACATATGAAACATATTCGAAAAGTATCTATCAGTTACTATTGGAGCTTCCTATTTTTCATCATCATCATATTCAATTTCTTATTGAAAACTAATCAGTTTTAATTGCAACTTTATCGTCGGCTTTTCTTTAATATATTCATTAATTCGAAATCGATATATGACTATATTCATTATTTTCTTTTTATAAAGGCTTATCAAAAGCGAAAAAGATCGATGAGAAAATAAACAAACTTGTTCGGTTTCATTGGATGCGAATGTGGCTGTTTGCTAGTAAAAGATAACGAATATTCACTTTTGTTTCCATCCATGCTACACAAAAAAAAACCATTTACAGAAAAAGATAGTGAGCGAGAATTCATCATCAAAATGATAGATGATTACGCGACAAATACCACAGCCTTTTTATAGCCATCTTGTGACAACGGTAGCTATTGTTTTCTCGTGTACTTTAGTTATGAATAATTTCGAATCATAAAAGCACCTGAGAGGTTTTATTAGTTTGAAGTAAGATGTAAAGCAATTCAGATGAATGTATGACTCATCGTAATGCTTATACGTAATATCTTGAAAACTTAGAAATACGATTATTGACTTGTGTCAGTGTAAAAAAAAACACTACCAGTTGTAACTCTGTTCTGCACCTGCATCTTCACCGGATACGAAACAGTAGTAATAAGCTTCTTTATTTCAGAGAACTAGAAAGGAATGTTTATTATCCCTACGTGTTCTTTTTTACCAATGAATGAATATATTTCAGTTATAATATACACAACCTCGGGAAGACATAGAAACTCAAACTCTTCGAGGCTATTCTTCATTAGAACGATAAGGATATTGGTGTAAACTAAACTACCGTAACTGATTTTTGTTGTTGCTCACAGGGCTCAACGTGTTATTAAACGTTAATAGACAAAAAACATCAATCAGTGCCATGTACATTCGTATTCTTATATTATAAAAAAAGATTTCCAATTTACATAGTGAACTCATAGAAAACTTCATTTTCTTTGAATGAATAAAAGATGTTTTGGTTTATGTCAACAGAGAAAGATTATGGATATTCCTGAAAATTATTGTAAAATAGAAGAATTGGGAGATTAGCGATCAGGAAAATGTGAAGAAAAAAAATATGACAAAAAGATTTTGAATTAGTTTTGAAAAAAGTAGTGATTCTGTGGATTCTTTCTTACCAAATCTGCAGCGAGAATGATTGCTTTGATATTTTATTCGAAAAAAACCTGTCAGCTGTATTGCTGATGTTCTTTGAACTGATCAAAAATATGAATCTCATTTAAAATTATTTTCTAGAAAGGATTTACTCTAATAAAAATTATTCAATCAATTAAACAGCTGCTTCTCTTTTGTTGATTTTCTGATCTAGATGTTTTTCTCTACGAGTTTGAAGTAAATAGTCTGTTTGATTGATAAATACTGTTCGAAGTTTTCATAAGATTTTAATAAGAAATTTTAGAATACATAATGGTTACTAATCATTCAAACTTTCATACAATTGATCATTTTGACAAAGATATAAAAACTATGAACATAATGTAAATGTTTAAAAGTTCTTGAAATTACTTGATTCAATCACAAGTCGATAAACAAAATAGTCACAAATACAGCATTTAATAGCATTATCTGATGAATAATTTCGTTCGAATTCATCAATCTTTTGTTGTTCAACTAGATTATTAGAAAATTGATCACGAGCTTGAATTATCATATCTTGTTTACCATGACACGATGATGGTATATCGTAGTATGACCTGTAACAATATATGTGAAGTGTGTTCGTATTGAATAATGCTAATTGATGTTTGACTAGAATATCAGAGAACATCTTTTGATAAACAATCGCATAATGTTTGCTCATCGATAAATACACCTTTCACTTTTGGATATTTGGAAGACCATTATTTATGTATTTGATCTTTTATACAATATATTTATATATAGAATTTAGTTGAGATAAATTATGTACTAATGGTATAATATGTTTTCCAGTTTGACCAGAAATAATCAAGAAAATTTGCTCTTGTTTGATGGTTGATATATAATCCCTACAAACATCTGTATTATCAAATATTTTAAGATAGTTAACTACACTTCGTAATTTATCAATATGATATGGTTTTGCACATAATTGTAAATCTAACCATACAATAATACAATCTTTTAAATTTTTCGTTTGATCATTCAAATAATGGAATAAATTAATATCATCTTGATAAGATCTTTTTGTCATTTTTGCAACTGTTTTCATAATAGAAATTATTTAAAACAAAAGTGGTTCATCGTGGAATTCAATGAGTATTAATAATAAGGTTTAATAATTAAAAAGCAATATATGATAAACAAATATCTGTTTGAAATGAGCGAAAGGGAACCACCTAAGCAGAGGAAAAGAATTCCTTTTTTGTTTCACATGATGTCAATAGAAAAAACGTCAGTTTTCTAATCAATAGCGAAACGTATACAAATGCTTTTTTCCAATAGTTTCGGTCAATAAAATTGAAATTGGAGTGTAAATTAAAACAAAATTAGATATTTTCGTCCTTCATAATACATAGCAATGTACATCTGATATAATCACGATTAGTTTGTTAGAGTTTAAGGTGTGAATTATACAAGAACAGTGACACCCCCTACTGACAGTTTTTTATATCATAGAGTATGTAGATGCGGATAAAGACAAGACCCACACTCTCATTCACACCTAAAAAAGTCATTCATGAATGATTTCGGAAGAAAATTCCTTCTTTAACTTCCCCATCAACGACATCTTACAAGTAAAGCTTTTTGCAATTTGGAAGTAAAATAAGAAATATCATTCTCAAAAAAAAACTACTTAAAGTGCCTCAACAAGTATTGATTTGTAGAGGATTATCGGTGACTGTAATTGGAGTATTTTGTTCATTTATGATCATGTTAATGTTCAACCGACATCCATTAAATGAAAATCCATCTTCACAGTATATCATAATTAATGCTATTCTATTCGAAATAAATGTACTTGCGTTGAATGCTCTATTTTGTAAATTTCGATCGAACTATGAAGGATTTACAATAGCATCTAAATTTTTCTTATCAATTTTCTTTTTGCACTATTTAGTCATTAGGCTAAATTATAACGTTCTGTATGTCTACAATCATACAGCTCAGAAACATTTGCTCAAATGCTTATTGTTCTAGCATTATATTTATCTTGGTGTTTTATTGGTATGACAGGAGCTATGTTTTATGAAAATGCTCCAATTGGACCAAAAGGATCTTATATATATGTACATCAAAATCGAATACATTTTTATTTTTTACCGCATTCGTTTATTGTCCAATTTTACAGTGTGGGGTCGGATGCGGAGAAGAGAGAATCGACAATTGCAATCGCACTCATATCCTTGGGGCAAGTCGAATGAAAAATAGCTCGAATTTCGTTCAAGTGAAGTTAAGTCTGACTTGAAGAATCTTTGATTTGCTCAACTCTGGAAAATATTCATAAGTTCCATAAAATAATTAGTTGGTATGCAAATGTGTGTGCGCAAATATTTTCTAGCTTTATCTTTATTATATAAAAAAATAACTATAATTATGAATATGCTGAAAATCGTCGAATCATAACTAGCAGTTTGGGTGGTTTCGCTTGAAACGTTTATTGTTTCGCAACGTACCCGATCGTTCATTCATCCTCTTGCCTAACCACAAGTGTATTAGTAGTGGTGAGAACATACCACAACGATATCCGCAGCTCCCACATAGTCTTATTTCAATCTGACATGTAGCCTCTCTTCTTTTTTCCGTAAGCCATTCAATGATATGCTTCTTGAATTCATGTATTTCAGATACTTCAAATTTGACACTTGATAAATGGTCAGCTTTTTCTAGTATCATTTTGGCATCGTCTATATTTGTAATTCTAGTATCAAGACGTTTGACATGATGAGGTAATTTCAAACAGATACTGCTTAGAATTAGACTCTCGTTCTTCCAACCGTAGTTACATATTATAAGTGAACGAAGATTGGATGCACGTTTGAATAGGACTTGCAATGCGGCATCGAAACTAACAATCTCATAGGTACTCTTCAGATATAACTTTAAGGTGTGAATTCCAGATAGATTAACAATATTTGAAATATGTTCAATTGTGTCGGTTGACCATATTTTACCAATAATGATCTCAAGTTCTGTTACATTGGAAAACAGAAGAGTCGACGTTGAAAGAGTCTAAAGTGAAAAAAAATTGTACGATTGTGATGTATTTAAATATGATATATAAACTCTATTAAATAGAAAGGTAAAAAAAAATACCATAAACATTCCTTTTCTGCTTCAAAACACTTAAGTTATCTGAATAAACTTTATGTTCAAACCAAAGAAATTAACGTGAATACTAAGATGAATGCAAACAAAAGGAAACCACACCATTTTTATAGATCTTTCAGAGAATGTTGGACCGAAAACGAAACAGTTTTCTCAAACTTTCGTATCTCGCTTATTTCATCATCATAAAACAATGGCTTACAAGTATTTGTTTCATACAGATCATCATTCTTGTTCATAAAGAAACAAAGTATTTTCCAGTGATTTAAAAAGGTTTCGAGCCTCAACGCGTTAGAATGTTTTAAGCTCATATTTCGCCTAGATTTGGAGTACTATTGAACTGCAGTAACCGTCAAAGAGTTAATACATTTCAATTTTTGATCCAAATCGGGTCACTATTAGTCCACTCATATCGAACAATGATAAGTTTCGACAAAATTGCCATGTGTTGTTTGTCACGCGTAAACTAGGATGTCAGTATTACTAAAAGAGGTTGGATGACTGGATTGCGCTAAAATCTTCTTTCTGATGATTTATCATGATTTGCAGCTAGTTCAAATCAAAATTTAATAGCTCGATATCAGTGCTTCTATATTATGAACTTTTTGAAAGAACATGCAATCATCCAGACAGTGATTATCCTGAAGATATTCAAGAACATTAAAAAAATTTCTTAAAATGTGCGAATAATGAAACATACTAATAATTTTGATTTAAGAATGTAAAATAATGCCTACCTTTTCTGAAGTTTCATTAGGTATCATATTATCTAAATCTAAAGATAGTGTATGCGCATTGATAACAAGTGTTGTAATGTTTTTAGTAATGTTCAATGCTGAACGCATGATCTCAACAACTTCAAATATAGTACACATGAATACAAAAGGTGCTTGTTTTTAGCGATAGTGATTTTCAGAAAAGTTTGACTATCGCGACAATGAAACAATATTTTTTTTGAATGTCTTGTGTAGAGAATTTTCAAATACTTTTACCTATGAAATACATATAAAAACTAGTCGAAATGGCTCACATACCTATTAGAAGAGATATTTGTTCGAGCTAAAATTCTAGAAATTGCTGAATAACTACGAGGCGGTACCGCCTAGTTCCAAAGCGACAGTTCAGAAGTCCCTCATAAACAATAGAAAAACCTGATCACACAATAAGAAATATAAAGAACCTATGAAATCTTCCTGTACCGTTTAAAACGTTGAAAAGAGGTTTTGAGTGTGTCAATATGTAGGGAACCTACGGTAGTATATACTGACACAGTTTTATGACTAAAAAATTATTTTTAAAAAATGGCAAAACATACAATGTGTTTGTACTGATGTGGTTAACCGCCTTTCTTGTCCTATACAGTCTCTATTGTAATTTAAATACGCGAACAAAAGAACGACTTTAAAATTGAATTTTTTTGGTGTCTTTATATTTCATTTGGTGTTACTTATAAGCAAAGTTTCATTGAAATCTGTGGTATCAACTGAGTACATAATCCCCATTTCGGTCATTTTTCTTGTGCAATGGCTTCTAAGTCTTTTACATTATTGCTGGTAAAAGTGAAAATGGATGAAAGATTCTATTTTTAAGAACAGTTCGGTTCTACTAAGATTAATGAATTTAAGAAATGGTTGCTATGTTTTCGGAAAGCATTTATCATTGACCTTGTGGGAAGTGAATAATTTCTATTGAAAATAGAAGAGTCTTTCTGCTTGAGGAGGATATTATCCAATTCTCATTTTAACAAGACATCACAATTAATACAACAAAGAAGATTAATTGAGTTTTATATTTTATCTAGAATATATATTGATGAAGTTATCTTGTGGTCAACCGTTTCATAATAATATTCTTAGTTTTGACATATTTGTTTGATAAATATTTTCTTTTTTAATTTCAAAGTAAATTGTTGTTCATTCATTAGTGTGTCTTAGAATTCTTAATAATGCTACATCTCTTTTATTCGATCTTTGATTTACAATTGAATATTACAAAAACATAATTCTATAACTTATTTCAAAAAATTCTGAGGAACAAAATCTCTTCTGATTCATTGAACATACTTTCATGTAATTATTTTTAATAACATATGTCACCTTGATCGATGCAAAAAAAGTGTTGTACAACAGAAAAGTACTTCATTTATCCACATAGAAACGATTTTTTTCTCTTTTTCATCTGCAAAGAAAGAAAAAGCAAAAGAAGGGAGACATAGTCAAGCATATAAAATCAAATCATATTTACACATTTTCTCTTGCATTCATGCATACATAAATTAAAAAAAAAACAATTATGGTTAGAGTGTAGAAAAATTATTTAGTAGACATATTGTTGATAAATCGAATAAAGAAGTTTATTTTAAATATAAGGTTTTTGAACTGTTAGGTGAAATAAGTATGCATCAATTAGTGTAAAAGTGTTTTGACTACAAGTTTTTATTGGATCAGTCTCAGTTGATAATTGTTTCATACTTGACATCAGGGTACTTGATGTAGCAAAGCACGCAATTTCAGTGAAAATCTTTGGCACACACTTGTAGATCTTTGTTTGTCAGTAATGAATGTGATAATGTCTAGTTTTCGAAATTTGTTTTGATGATTTTTCGACTTCTCGTTAATCGATATTTTGGGCTTCGTACCTAATTTTGCAATTGAATGAAACTCAAATAGCATCTAGTTTTACTTACTTTTTGAATTTGGTTTTTTATGATAAAGATGACGCTAGTCAATGATACTGAGAGAAAATAGAAAAAATAAAAATGGCCAAGATGAAAATATGATATAGTGACATTATAAACAATAATCTAATTATTCGACGAACTTATCTTTTTAGTTGATCCGGTTATAAATGAATTGAACAAGTGCATCAATAGAGTCATGTTAGAAATTATGGAATGAATCATCTGCATCAGCTAGTAAATTAATCGACTATGCCCATGTTTAT